TGATAAACCTAAGATTTGCTGATCATGCTTATTGATAGTTACTAAAATTATAAAAATCACCTGATCTACAGCTCCTTTGATGTTATAATTTTATTTTATTTTATTTTATTGTCCTTTTTGAGACCGGCCGCACCGCGATAATTGCTATATACTCACATTGGACTGTGGACTATGTTCTAAAATCTAAAACCAGTTTCTGATGCACCCAAAAATCAGTAAAACAAGGCTTCATAGAGCAATGCTATTATAGTAAATAAAGCCAATTAATATAGCATTTTTTCAATCTGATTAACAATTTATAAATCAGAGTTCAAGTTAATTAAATGAACCAAATCATCAACATAAAATGTCTTCCTTTAAATTACTAAAAGCTCTTATCTTAAAAAAATAGAAGAATCTCTAATTACACAAGACTCTTCTCTGCCCTGCAGGATCAATTGTCTCCAGAGTTTTACTTCCAGTCAATTAATTAGGTCTCTCAGTGTGCAACATGAATAGCTATTTCTTTCTTTTTTTTTAAACTAAACTTTGTATATTGGGATTTTCTGCCCCTTAATAACTAACTGTTCTGGTGTCCTTGGAAAAAAATTTTTTTTGCCTTTGGCGGTTTGGGGAAGACAGCAAGAATAGTTTCACATATGCCAATAGATTATAGACATTTAAAGAAATAAATCCAAACTTCTAAAAGGACAGTTTTAATACTTTGGTGACTCAGTTACCTACAGGTAACAGAGAAGAAAAGCAAAATTTTTCAGAAGGGACAGACCTTTTCCCTATAGTCAGTAAAAAAAAAAAAACCTGTTATTTCACAATCTGAAAATCTTTTGAAATAGATAATGAAATCAGCAAATTCAAGGATTCTTGGAGGGCTCTTCTGTTGGAACCTTTTCTTTTTCTGTTAAGGTAGCTCTATCTGAAAAGCCATTAGAATTGATGTTGGGACTAAACCAAGTTACTGGAGATCAGCACTTGAAGGAAAAAATTACTGTTATCAAGCTTGCAAAAAGTGGAGAAAAGCCTCCTGCAATTTAGCTGTAAAGGCTGAGGATAAAGAAGTGATAGTTGATGATGAGAAGCAAGGCACTTTACTCTAGGTCTCTTACCTCATTTACACTTTAATATTTTTTCCCCATTTCTCAATTCCTAGCAGTACTTCAGTCTATAAAAGTGAGTTTTAAGACAACAGAAAATGCTGTGAACATGTTTGATAATTTTTTTCCCCAGGATGCCTTTATATTTATAATTAATTATGCTTCCTAATAGAGCATGCTACTCAATCCTGGTTTGGAGTGGGTCTTATGGACACGTCTGTTAACCAGGCCTCTGAGCCTTCAGGTTGTCAATGAGAGAAGTAGGGAGATGCAGACAGTCAGGGCCACCTGCTTGTGAGCCGTCATATGTTCTGGTGAAAAAAAGCTTTAAATAGATGACCACCTTCCCTTCACTTGGTACAGTCAGTACAGATCTATCCACTTTGAGTACTACTGTGTATCCAGTGATCACTAACCATGATACTAATTTGATAAAGCTGAATTAAGATAAAAAGTCTTGGTGGCTACCAGGTGATGAAAAAAAAGAAAGCATCCACCTCCGCCTAGCAAGTGACTGAGCAGGATGTGAGAAACATAAACATAAAGTAAGCCTTACAATTGTCCCTCCCTGTTTCCATGTATAAAAGAGAAAAATCTGTCTATGCAGACTCTGCTTTCCTACCTTTCTCTGGCCCCCAACCAATCATGGAAGAACTGTTTTCTCCAATTAAAATTGTTTATTTTTAAACTATATAATATTTAATTTTTCTTGTCTTAAAAACATTACTAAACCTTCCATTTTCTTACTTTCCCAGAAAAAATGGGCAGGGCCAAGGACTCCACTTATCCCTATTAGAGGAAGGAAAGATTTCTGAGCACGCAGGGCGCCTCCTTCCCACGCAGAAGTCCAGTTCCTCATCCGTGTGTTCTTTCAAAAGGGGCTTTTAGCCCTGGGTTTTGAGGCTATTGCCTGGTCTCAGGTCACAGACACTGAGGATTCTGTGTATCTGTTTACAGGAGCCTGAATTTCAAATCTCAGGTTTACACGGAAATAAATGACTGAATAGAGAGAGCGAATATATTCTCACCGGTTTCACTTTAAACTAAATGTAGAAATCTTAGTTCATTTGTTTCACTTGAATGCCAAACACTGACTTGTTTATTTCGTTTTAAAGACTGGCTGAGTTTCTAAAGAGAATAAGAAGCAAATCCCCTAATTCCAGGGGCCACAGATCAGCAGTTTGAATTTAGCTCTAACCATGGCTGGGGAAGAGGGCCAAATGCCATATTTAACAGTCCAGAATGCTGGAGAATGACTAGATGATGAAAGCATTCTCTAGCTGGGGAAAGTGTGAGGCTGCCTAAAATATGAGTTGGAAGTGAAAAACAATTAAACTTAACTTTCTTGTGGACAGCATTCTCAAAATTAGGTATAGAGGCAATATGGTGAAATGTTTTTCAAAGTACCTATGAATAAATTGAGAACTGAATGAAACCTAAAATTGATTATGTACCAGTAGGTTGGCTTCCGATTTCATTAGTCATGAACAATGTCCATAATGTCAAGGTTACTAGGTCAAGAAATATGCCACCTACAATGACCATCTCCCAAGGCATACAGTGGAATCAATACGTTCTCTTGGTACATTCTCTTTTAAAGAGATCAAGAATAGAATTGAGGCACAGAAGAGAGAAGGTAATTTCATGAAGGGAAATGGTCAGTAGGGACTGGGAGCCAGTACAGGAGAAAGAGCTTACCTGCCAGCCGGAGTATGATGGGCTTAGAAGGACTGCAGAATGGGGGGTGTCTGTCTCCTTGACCCGTGATTTTTTAAATTCCAGCTGTAATTCTTTCTCTTCAATGTAGGTCCTGATCAGATACCTCTCAGGGAAGAATTTGAGCAAATTATGCTGAAAGCTATGCAGGAATTTACTCTGAGAGAGAGAACCCTGCAGATGGGTGCCCAGTGTATACCTGTGTCTCCAGGACAACTTCCCTGGCTTGCTAGATTGATCGCCAGTGTATCTCAAGACTTGGTTCATGTGATCGTGACCCAAAACTCTTTGGCAGAGGGCATTTCAGAGACATTGAGGACTCTCAGTGAAATGAGACACTATCAAAGGCTACCAGATTATGTTGTGGCAATTTGTGCATCTAAAATCAGAGGAAATGAATTTTGTGTGGTAGTGCTAGGTGAGTAATGTGGGTTTTTTTCTTTTTTGTTTATTTAATCCATTCACTCAATTTATCTGTTCATTTGAAAAATATTCATTGGGTTTTTCAGGCACCTACATAGTCAACATCTTGTTAATTGCTCCAACTTGGGCTCTTCCTCCTTATTTTAACATTTCCTTTCCTCCTCAGATAAGGTTTTTATAGTCCTCAGTTTGACTGGTGCCCCAGTCAGCTGGTTGCAGGAGCATTATTTCAAAGCTCATCCTAGTAACAGATACCCTTGTCTCATATAACTTCTGTCCTTAAAATGTTTTGGAAATTTTACCATGCTGGCATGTGGTAAAGCCAGAGTCACAGGTGGCCTAAGCCAGTGAATCAAATTTGCCAGAAACTTAGCTCATGATCTCCCCTCCTCACTGGAGTCTCTTTGATGTTATAACATCTACTCAAAAGAAAAGCCTACAAAAGTTGGTACATTACAAAATGTGGGTTTTTTTGTTTGTTTGTTTGTTTTTTTGCTGTATGCTGACTTTCTATCAGGCACCATTCTTGATAGTCATTTGGACTAAATTTTGCTGCTCTCCTCTCTGTACTGAATGGCTCTCACCCCTTCCTACCACAGAGTCTGAGCCCCCTCACTGTGGCAAAACCTGTCTGCCCCTCCTCTGTGCTATATATATTTTCAGAAAGCTTCATCAGTGTGATACATTTATGTTTTTAGTTTCATTTCTAAAAACAACAACATAAGTTGTTTTGTTTTTAAGGCAAATATTCATAATAACCACGCAAACACAATTTTAATACTTTTTTTATATTCTTCCCTAGTCTTTAAACATGTGCGTGTATGTTTTCCAGTTCCATCATTTTTCCCCGTGATCACCTAGCATTATAAACATTTTCTGTTTCTGTCTATAGTTTTCAAATTGGCATTTCAAATGCTGCCTAATGGTCCACATCTTTTGACGTGCTGTGATTTTCTTAACCAAGTTCCTATAGTTACGTGCTTCAATTGTTCCCAATTGCCGCTATTACCAATAATGTCACAGTGCACATGTGTTCTCTTGCCAAGTCATCTCTTCTGCCCTCTGTTCTGCAGGTCAGCATCAGTCCCGAGCTCTGGCAGAGAGCATGCTCACCACAAGTGAGTTTTTGAAAGAAATTAGTTATGAGCTCATCACAGGAAAGGTCAGTTTCCTGGCATCACATTTCAAAACCACATCATTAGGTGAGTGGTTGTAAGATTCGGCAACACTGCCAGCCCCAAGCTGCGTGATTTTCTGAATTTAAATCTTATCCTGTCAAGGCGATGAGTGTGGAGCTTGCCAGCTGACTTTTTATTTGGAGTGGTTTAAGTATTTTGTTACTAACACCACAGGAAGCAGCGAGAGGGCCCAGAGGAAGGCACCTCGGTACTAGGAAGCCTCGGCTCAGCCACAACCTTGTTGAGTGACCTTGGGCGAGTCTCTTCTGGATCTCAGTTTTCTAATATGTCAAATAGAGATAGAATAATCCCATTCTTACCTGCTTTTGAATATTATAGAGGTCAAGAGAGAGAAAGCGTGTGAATGCATGTAAGCTGTAAGCATAACACCAGCAAGGGTAGCTCATGATAGAGACAGCACTGTGGAGATGGCCAAGGGCAAACTCGGACATGAGCTGCTGGCCAACCAACAGATCTTGATGACAAAGGACCCAACCTAATGGGCCAACCCGGAGACAGGCAACACAAACATATCACTCCTTATAACCTTCTTATCTCCGCTTGATGTTGTAATAGGCGATGACCTGGACAAGCTGCTAGAAAAAATGCAACAAAGAAGAGGAGACAGTGTGGTGACCCCTTTCAATGGAGACCTTAACGAATGTGTGTCACCTCAGGAGGCTGCTGCGATGATTCCCACAAAAACCCTGGGTAATGTCGCCTTAGACCAAGAGGAGGAAGTCAGTCCTTAGGACAGACATTACAGACACAAAGTCATGCTGAGGGCTTTGAGAATCTTCAAGCCATAGATCATGACAGGCTTTTTCTCATTGTCCACGTGATAAATCTGGTTCAAATTAAAATTGCCTGCCCATGTGGCCTGGATCAAAGGCCTTGTTCTTAGTAACTAAGTCTCCTAGAATTAAAATCAAAGACTATCTTAAGCAGTCTCTTTTTTCCCTGGAAGATTCCGGGGTCCTTGGTGCATTTTCCTCAAGTCCAGCAGTTCCGCTCAGAGAGTTGTCATGCCTGCTGAGGGCAGCACAGAACTGCTTGAAAGAGTTTAGACTGCAGGCCATGCAGGGTCGCTGGCTCAACTCCTTCCCTTACTCTGACTGTAAAACACACATAATCTCAGGCATAGTGAGGCCTTTCTGGCAGATAGAGCAGCAATACTAACACCTCATCTGCCCCACAGCAGCTGCAGGGGCTTAATTAACATGGGGTTGTGGGGTAGGGATAAGAAATCCCATTCCTTTGGGTTCATATTCCTTCCCCAATTTGCTGATTGACAGGGACAACATAGGAGAGGGTGGACAAAAAGAACAGGAGGAAGGATAGATGGGAAACAGACCCAAATAAGCTGCTGCTGACAGCCATTTGTCTCCACTCGACAGGAATGCATCACTTACATATTAGGGTTGCCTTGGACAATAAAAGGAGCATGGCTTGGCATCAGCTCAGTCTTAAAACAAATGCAAATACAGGCAATAAAATGTTTTGACTTCTAGACGTTATTTGGCAATAAAGTGATTATCCAGATTATCTAAAACGTGTTTATACTATTAACACATTTTTTACAATTCCCAGAGTACTTACAAATTCCCAAGTACATATCCTTGATTCCCTGTTAAAGAAACATTGCTTAAAAATATTTTTGTTTCCTCAAACCAAAATTTGCTAAGTAAGTTAAATCTCCAAATGCACATAAATGTTAGTCCCACCCATCCACCCTGCGAAATGAAGGAAATAACAGCCTTGACTATATCAGAAGACAGGCTTATTTTGATTGGCAGTCTTTGTGGGTCAAAAACTATTTGGGCTACTATTAAAAGTTGCAGCTTTGGATTTTTCCAGTGGGTTCTCTCAGCCAGCAGGGAAGCCACCCATTTTAAATCTCCCCTCGCAGTTGGTGTCCATGGTGGCTGGGATATTGTGAGGACTATCTTCGGGCTGCATCACAGTTTGATTTTAGAAAGCATTAATTAGCACAGGTTAATTAGGCCTTTGTGATTCTGTTACAGTCAGACTGCCACACCTGTTCCTGATAAAAAGTAGCCCCTTAAAGAAGGATTGGATGCTGCCTGCTTAGGTGTTTAGCTGACTTAGCTTGTTTCTTTCATTGTGTGTACCTGCATGCACATATGAAAAAGATTGCTTGATTATAACTTGTACTAAAAGCTACTGACATGCTTAGAGTATCTGGGTGGTGCTTTTGTAATATGTCACCTACTGAGTGGCCAGCTGGCTATGCCATGAGTCAGGTCTGTTCACATAGTCCAGGCGTCAGCACTGGAGTTGACTACAACCACCTAGACCTGCCAAGTCACAAGCACTGGCAAAGTCGAGTTCAGGCAGAAGGAAGGTGAGGGTCGTGTCTCAGTGACCTACGTTATATAGTCACCAGGAGGGGAGTTTCGGACCATGTTGCAACTGACTTGCTAAAAAGGAAATGTTTACTCTGGTGTCATTCAGAAAAGCTCAAAGGAACTTAGCACTATTATAGTTACAGCATTGCCTCCTTTCCTGAACTGGGTCTGGGCTAGGGCTCTGACCTGTACTGATGTTCCTAAAGAAAACTGGGAGCTCTCCTCTTTCCAGAAATGAGTCCCAGCTCCAGCTGTGAGAGTGTAATCTGTCCCCACCATTTCTGGGTTGGGAAGGGGGTGCTGAATTAGCGTTTGTCAATCGGTTTTAAAATAATACATTTGTAAAACTGCCACAGCTACTCCTGAGCACATCCTCTCAGCCAAGTTTTCAGGGAAAACAGGCAAATCTATTGAGAATAGCAGGTGAGAATTCCTGGTCACAGAGCATTACTTACCATGTGTGTTGTATGTCCCCAGATGAGTTCATAGTGGCCATCACAGAGTACATTAATCTTGCCCTTATGACTCTTTTTTATTTTAGATTTAGATAACGAAATCTTCCAAATTTACCAACCACAGCTTACAGTTGCCAGAAAACTCTTATCCCAGGTGTGTGCTATAGCGGACAGTGGCAGCCAGAGCCTGGACCTTGGCCACTTCAGCAAGGTGGATTTCATCATCATTGTCCCCAGATCCGAGGTTCTGGTCCAGCAAACTCTTCAACGGATTCGACAATCAGGTAAGAGTGACCTTTCAAAGAAGACCCTACCTAGATCCAGTCATCAGTCCCCTCTGCCTCTTTCCTTTGCTGAATCCAAAGGTTTATAGAACACTTAAAACCTCAGTAATAAAAATCAGAAAAGCACTACTTTGAATTTATCTGTAAGTTTTCCTTCCAAGGTAAAGAGTAAATGGATGTGTGTGTTTGCCAGACACTGTAAAGTCCATGCAGCAATCCATGGGCCTGGAAACTGGTCACTCATTTATAAAGAGAAATTTTCTCAAGGCAAGGACAGCCCTGCATGGGATGATGGAGTCTGTGCACCTGGACTCCTTCTGTGTTCAGATAGGTCACATTCTCATAGGCAGATTCTTGGACATCACCAGTACATTTTCAACCTAAAAACCAGAACACCACCCCCCACATCAACAATGAGAAGCCTCGTTAAAAAAAATACAAGGTTAGAATTATCCCTAATAACTTTAAGAGAATAAGTCTAGAGGAAAAAGTATTTTTCCTAGAAAATGTATAAAGGCAGAGTGCAAAAAGTTTACAAGTCTGTAGTAAATAATATCCCTTTTCAAAAATAAAATTTGGGGCCGGCCCGGTGGCGCACTCGGTAGAGTGCGGCGCTTGGGAGTGTGGCGGCGCTCCCGCCGAGGGTTCGGATCCCATATAGAGACCAGTCCACTCACTGGTTGAGCGCGGTGCGGGCGCGACACCGAGGGTTGCGATCCCGTTACCGGTCATGAAAAAAGACAAAAAGGAAAAATAAATAAATAAATAAATAAAATTTGCTTAGAATTACAAGAAACTATAGGAAATTTAGAATATTGGAACAGCTGAAAAATGCTTGCCTTTGTAAACTAGGTTTGAAAAAGAGATTACAAAAATCAAGTTGCTTCTGATTGCCTTGGCTGGGTGAAAGACACATGCATGCATGTGTACACACACACATACACACACACACACACACACACAGAGAAAGAGATTTTAGCTGGAAGGTGAATCTTTTTACCACAGTAGAGCATTTTATTCTCAATATATTTGAAACAAGCATGAAGC